GCACACATGCGTGCATCGTCTGTAAGCTATAACGCGCGTAAAATCGTCCACGTGCGACTCTAACCGAGACGGTGAGTTCAGTATTTGCGTTATCCGCTGACGCAGTTGGAACTTCCCTGCTGCCCATCCGGATCACGTAAAAACAACGAACAATGAACGGCACGTGAGAGGAAGCTGACTTGGAATTGAGCCGGCACGTGGCAACATTAAGTCTGCTTCATCGAATTAAGTCTGTGTCGTTTTTCAATGGACTGTTTTTCTCATCGACGGTACAATCCACGTGGGATGATAATAGCCTCGCTGCATCTAACAACGCGTCTTGATTCGTCGAATAAACGGGCATTTTTGCGACAGACATATATCGTCGCGTTAGAAAATGTTGACGGACAACTCTGCCTTTGAATCGATGCGATTCACTCGTGGAGTTTGTTGTTAAATTCTCGTTGAGATCGCCGTTTAAAATTAATTACAGCACAGGTACGTATTTTTACCGATAGCTTGGGAATTTTTAGGAATTCCAACGTTGTGAATCTTCTGAAAAACCTTATTCGGAAACTGTTACGCGCAATTATTTTGGAGATTTTAATTAATTCGCTTCGAAGAACTTCAAACTCGACAGTGTAACAATTCGAATCTTGAAAAAAAAAAGAAAAAAAATCGATTTTCACGGATTCGTGAGAAATCCGATGATTCTGAAATGTGCAATGTAACTTGACATCGCAGCAGATGAAACGAATCTCTCCTTCAATTAGTCGCGTTCATAAGATTCCTCCTTCAATTAGTCACGTTCCTGAAAACGTAAAAATGCACGATCCAACAGAAAGGAAAGAAAAAAGAAAAGGAGACAATCGCACAGCCACATTTAAGAAACGAAGAGAAGAAGGAAAGGAGACAAAAGACAGTGAGCGCGAGAGAAAAAAGGAAATCCCCTGTTAATTCGTTCTTTCACTTTTATCGGCACAATTAATTTGCCAACGAGACGAGAAAGTGAAACGAGAGTGGCAGGCCGGGACCGGGTTTTGGAATGCGAGAAACGCGCGACACCATTTCGCTTCGAATCATCACTGTCGTCTAGATTTCGTGCGGCTCGACGTTCCTCGACGTTGACCAGAAGGTTGCCATTAGGTTTCAATCTGACGCTTTTCGGCACCCCGTCGCGTAATCTTCCCTCCTTTATCACGTCGGCAACGTGGTCGGTTATTAAACCGACCCCTGAGACTTCGATCAAGGTTTTTCATTTTCACTTTTTTCTTTTTTTTTTTTTTTTTTTTTTTTTTTCACTGACCAGGTATTAAGGTATACTTGGATTACGCGTTGAGGAGTTCACTTGGTTGTTCTTTACTGCTTGCTCTACCGACAAAAATGGTCAAAATGACCATTTGTGAATGTTTCTGTCAGATATTTTTGGAGATTTGAATGAGATTCTTCGTAAATTAAATACATATCCTGTTGTATTGTACAGATTTTTTTGTTTCTTTTTGACTCCAACGTCTCCGGATGGAAACTTTATGCTTTTAGTAGCTTAAGCGACTTACAAATGATGATAATTTTACGTTTACAATCACAGTCACGCGGTGACTGGGATACTAACTTTTTTTTCTTATTTCATAAACAAATATTGATTCATTATAAATATTGAGAGAGAATAAGTCGGAATAACTCAGTCACCTTTGAACATCATAGATAAGGAACAATCTTTGGATATTCGACGAAGCTTTGAGCGAATTCGTCTTGGTCGTCGTTACAAAACTTTGAGCTGAAAAATACATCTTAAAATTTCAAAGATTTATGATCATCGTAAGATGTGTACCCATCGATATAAGAAATAAGGCTTATTTCAAACTTATTTTCTCTCTACAACGAATAGCTTAACGGAGAATTACGTGGTTAGCTTCATATTGGCCACCCTGTATGTATAAATTATATTTATATAAAACATACATACAAATAAATATATTTACTCCTAAAAACAAATACACCATCGTCGTCGGATGCATGCAAAGTTCTACGAGCGAACCTATCCTCCGCCAATGATACTCGAAATCGAAATTACGGGCGTTCGTCGAGTGGATATTCCAAAACGTGGAAAACGTAAGGAAGCACAGAGATACAGACTCAGGATGAGAAATAAAACTACAACACGGATGAAACTGCGCACTTACGTAGACCTGTACAACCGGGAAACGCGAACAACATGAACAATAACACTGTTGCCTGCAGCAGAAACTAATTAGAATCCACGGGTGCATGCGACAAGGACGGGATCGAAATGCTAAGGCTTGCTGGACATCCGACCAACAAAGAACGAGAGAAATGAGAGATCGAAGAGTTTCACGTTATCTTGGCATCGAGAGTTGAAGGTGAAGTTCTACGGAGGTGCCGGCATCGTTAGGGACACGTGCAATTGGCTGGCTCAAGGGAGTAGCGAAAAAAGAGAGAGGGGGGGG